GGCGCTCAACTCAAGATGCATTTAGCCATGCCCGACGGTTGCGTTACTGTGCTCGTGATCTCACTGGGGGGAACTGTCGGCCGGCTGTGTAGTCGCTCATCGGCCGACATGACTTTTTCTGTACAGATCCCCCCCCCCCCTGACAGCTAACAGCAGATGATCAAAGTAAGTTTGTTTTTTGCCGGATATAACTTCTAATAAGATAACTTCCGGCGCCAATTTTAAATTTCGTGACAACAGGAACGCCCACACAATTTTTCCTGAACTTCTTAAAGATCAGGGTAGGCTACGGACCTAAAATGACCCAAACCAAGCTTTTGTTTTTAGGAACATACAACCTAGCGTAATCCTTGCCGGTTGTTCAAAAGCAAAAACAACCCCTTAGGTTTTCGGTTGTCACGACCTTAAGATCAAACAAGGTCACTGATCTGAATGGAGCCTCCGTGGCCTATTGCTGAGAACAGGTGTTTACGTTCAAGGCGGTTGTATGAGGAAGTTTTGGGTCACTTTAGAGACCAATCTGAAGTTTGACTTTGTTTGACCTTATTTGGCTCAAAAGTCATAGTTGAGGAACTTCTAGTTTTGCCCCAGGTGAGTACACACAAATGCTTACCCAACCTGTGAATTTGTTTTTTTTTCTAGTTCCCTTAGTGTTTTAGATCTCAGGAAGTCATATATTTTCGTAAGTTTTGCCTCGTTTTACCTCAAATGTCTTTGCCGCTGACAATAGACCGTCCCAGCCAGAGTCAATGAACAAGAGCTGAAGTCATTTGAAACCAAAAACCCCGCCATTAGTTGGATGGAAGGCTGGCGTTGCAGCCAATTACTATACCTACTACTTTTCTACCACACTACCATGTACTGAAATTCATATTATCTGTGTTTTATCAGTAGGCAAATCGCTTTAGGGTTCATATAAGCTCACTAGCTTCCGTAATTGCCATACACGAGTACGACAGCTGAAAAAAGCAACGAAAGTTATGATAGGGACAAATCAACACCATAGCACGGAACGATTCGGAGCGGATGAGACCGAGGTAGAACCGACGGGAGCCGGAAAGTATGTGGAGAACGGGCATGATGGAGCCAGATCTGATCGAACAGGAAGAATCGGAAGACAGCAAAACACATATACGTATGCGCACATAGTAGCATTCCGGTCACGTGCATGCATGGCATGTCATTTATGGTCCGCCCTTACCACACTTATGTTGTATATTAGCATAGGCGTAAGCAAATGTTGACAGAAGCTACAGGTGGGCGCATTAACATACAAAAGGGTTAATACAATGATATGCTATTTCACGACCTCCAAGAAATTCCGCGTGCCTCGAGCGCGTTTGCGTCGATTTTCTTTTAAAACGCTTGAGCTGTGCTCCCTGCTTTGTGAAGCTCCGCGTGCAGCTCTGCCTCGGACTGGACTGGATCACAGTGGACCAGGGTGGAATGGGCTGCGGGGGTATTCTGGCGGATGGGCTGCGTATGGCGTATTCTGAAGGACTAGAATGTACTGAAAAAGAATGGAGTGGTTAAAAGGCCGTAGGACAAGCGTCGACTGGGCAGGCCCGACACGATAGAACGGGTTCGGGGCGCACCTAGGATCTACTTAAAGTGTGCGGCAGAGAGACGATGAGAATAACTCATGCTATTCTCGGTTATATTAGACGTCCCCCTCCCCCCTCCCCCCCCCCTCCCCCCCCCCCCCTTTGGCCGTGCCCCGGCGACAGATGTGGACTGTGCGGAACACAACACGACTGGAATGGACCAACAACAAATGGAATTGACCACACCGAACTTGGCCGACCTAAACCGGGCTGCATTTACCAGGTCATAGCAAATATGACCGAAACTGACCGCAGGAGGCACGATAAGCCCGGACCAGGTCTGACTTTGCTGTGTTCACCCACATCAAAATGGCTTAAAACTTGATGGAATTAGAAATAAATGAAATTGGGATAGCATCTATTTTCCAAACAGCCATTGTCATGCTTGTCCGATACCCCAGTGACACCGTGAATGAGTCATCAATGAGTTTTTTTTCGTACGCGCAAGGCGGTGCGCATAAGCTCGAGGAGATCACCATCTTGGCCTCATTTTCATCTCGATGTTCTCGGCATCTCGGCGAATGTCACCGCTGGTCTCCAGTCCCGGAGATCACTGTCGGGGCCTGGTCTCCATCATCTCGATCTGCTTGGTATCTTCGTAAATTTTGCTGAAGGTATTCAAAACACTTTCCCGGGAGCCACTTCCAATCATTCCATTCCTCAAAGTGTGTGCAAATTGCGTAGAAATGGCATTTGGGAACTGCAAAAATTGTAACGACCTGCCCTACACCCTTTTAAGAGAAAGAACGAAAAACGGGGTGAAATGCACCTCCTCAAAATTATCCAAAAATAGAGGTAAATCGTGACCATGACACAAGGTTACAAATACCATTTTCGTGACCTCCCCGTGTTGGCAGGACTCCTGATCAGCGTGCACTACACGGCCAATCTGATCTCGTCCTTGACGGTGGTGCAGCCTGTGGCGCCGATCGCCAGCCTGGCTGAGTTCGTCTCCAAACGGGACTGGACGCTGGCGATGGAGCCGGGCTCTGGAGTCATCGGCGACTGGGCGGTCAGTGGTACCGTGTGACCCGCCTCTGTCGTGACCCTGACCCCCACATGCCAAACACCTAACCCTTGTCTTGACGATGCGCCGCTCTCGTGACCCTGACCCCCGCATGCCAAACACCTAACCCTTGTCTTGACGATGCGCCGCTCTCGTGACCCTGACCCCCGCATGCCAAACACCTAGCCCTTGTCTTGACGATCCGCCGCTGTCGTGACCCTGACCCCCGCATGCCAAACACCTAGCCCTTGTCTTGACGATCCGCCGCTCTCGTGACCCTGACCCCCGCATTCCAAACACCTAACCCTTGTCTTGACGATCCGCCGCTCTCGTGACCCTGACCCCCGCATGCCAAACACCTAACCCTTGTCTTGACGATGCGCCGCTCTCGTGACTCTGACCCCCGCAAGCCAAACACCTAACCCTTGTCTTGACGATGCGCCGCTCTCGTGACCCTGACCCCCGCATGCTAAACACCTAACCCTTGTCTTGACGATGCGCCGCTCTCGTGACCCTGACCCCCGCATGCCAAACACCTAACCCTTGTCTTGACGCACATGTGACTTGAGCATTGTCTTGACCTGCCGCTGATCTGGACATCGTCTTAGCCATCGGACATCCCACTGACCTGACCTACGCCCTGGCCCGCTGACCCGCGCTCTGACCCTCTGCATCTGGCTATGACCTGCCATGCTCCTGTACACTGTACCGACTGGCTTCAGACCTTACCGATGCCGCGCCGCGCCGCAGACACGCTCCTGCCATGACCTACCATGCTCCTGTACACTGTACCGACTGGCTTCAGACCTTACCGGTGCCGAGCCGCGCCGCAGACACGCTCCTGCCATGGCCTGTCATTCTCCTGTACACTGTACCGACTGGCTTCAGACCTTACCGGTGCCGCGCCGCGCCGCAGATACGCTCCTGCCATCGCCTGCCATGCTCCTGTACACTGTACCGACTGGCTTCAGACCTTACCGATGCCGCGCCGCGCCGCAGACACGCTCCTACCATGACCTGCCATGCTCCTGTACACTATACCGACTGGCTTCAGACCTTACCGGTGCCGCGCCGCGCCGCAGACACGCTCCTGCCATGGTCTGCCATGCTCCTACCATGCCATGTACACTGTACCGACTGGCCTCAGACCTTACCGGTGGCGCGCCGCGCCACAGACACGCTCCTGCCATCGCCTGCCATGCTCCTGTACACTGTACCGACTGGCTTCAGACCTTACCGGTGCCGTTCCGCGCCGCAGACACGCTCCTGCCATGGCCTGTCATGCTCCTGTACACTGTACCGACTGGCTTCAGACCTTACCGATGCCAGGCCGCGCCGCAGACACGCTCCTGCCATGACCTGCCATGCTCCTGTACACTGTACCGACTGGCTTCAGACCTTACCGGTGCCGCGCCGCGCCGCAGACACGCTCCTGCCATGGCCTGCCATGCTCCTGTACACCGTACCGACTGGCTTCAGACCTTACCGGTGTCGTGCCGCGCCGCAGACACGCTCCTGCCTTGCCCTGCCGCTGA